TTTTACTAACAATTATTGATTAAAAAATTTAAAGAAAATATTAGCAAGGACAGAAAAGCAATTTATCATGAGGATAATACACTATGAACAGGTGGTATTTGTACCAGGAAAGCAGGGCTGATTCAATAATAGGAAAACTATCAGCATAATTGGCCACATCAATAACAAAACTAAGAGAAATAATCACATGATTATCTCAATAGATGTAGAAAACACTTGGTCACTGTGTATTATCCTGTTAATAAATTGCTGAAATCTCTTTGCTCATATTTTATTTAAAATGTTTCCATCAATATCCATTAAGGATATTGTTCTATAATTTTCGTTCTCTGTTTTGGCTCTTCCTGGTTTAGGTATCAGCACCCTATTTGAGTCATAACAAGAATTCGGTAGGACTTCTTCCTCGCCTATTTTTCCAAATAGTTTATATAGCAATGGAATTACTTATTAGCTCTTCTCACCAATACAGTCATCTAAGACAATTCCAAAAGACTCATGAAGGAAAATGTTTTCCACATCCAAAGAAAGAACTATGGAGTCTGAATGCAGATGAAAGCATAGTATTTTCACTTTTTTTTGGTTTTTTTTTGTGTCTTGTAGTTTTTCCTTTTGTTCTGAGTCTTTTTTCATAACATGACTAATGTGAAAATATGTTTAATATAATTTCTTATCTATAATCTATATCAGATTACTTGCCATCTTGGGGAACAGAGAGGGGAAGGAGAAGTGTGAAAAAATATGGAATTCAAAATCTTATGCATGTGAATGTTGAAAACTTTCTTTACTTATAATTAGAAAAAATAAAATACTATTAAGTGGGAAAAATTCACATCAGCTCTTTTCTAAGCATAGCAGATTCATTGTCAATGGCTCTGTGGTGTTTTGAGACTGGTCAGCTGTCAGCAAAGGGCAACTGGACTCAGGCATTCCGTTACTCTGTTTCCTTAGCACAGAAGTTGTAGAAAGAAGGAGCTTTTCTGGGAAGCGATCACCCTAGAGCCAGGTTTTATACACAGTCTGTCTTTTTACTCTTTGATGACACTACTTGATGCACTGATGTCTATGGTAATCCTCAGATATGTCGAGCTAAGTGAGGAGGAAATGATGCGTTCCCATCAGACTCTGGTAGACAGAATGTTTTTTCGAAGAACCACAGAGTGGTAGAGCTACCATGTCACCTTAGGCCACCTCTGATGCATAAGTGAGCATTACTGGATTCAGTTGTTTCCATGATAGGATGCCTACAGGAGATTCATATCATCTTTGGTTCTGAAATGGTGATTTTTGCATCTGTTACTATCTCATAACCCAAGCTGCTGTATAAATCCTTTCAAACCTTTCATATCAGCAAGAGGCAAAGCTGGGGTAAAGAAAGTGATACCTTCAGGATAGAGTATTATGTAGACAGGAAGCAAAAAATTCCATTGAGGCCAATAAGGATCTACTGGGTACTTAGTAGAAGATACCTTTCCATTTAGGGGAAGGTATTTTTCCTTTAACATAAAAAAAACCCTAACCCTTTCTTATACCTTTAGTCTTAGAATTTCTAGAAATTTGAGAGTAGTTTAGTGAGATGAGAGAATGAAAGTTAGCAGGATCTAGGGGATACAGCATTGAAAAGTCAGGAAAACCCATGTTCAAATCCTGCCTTAGATATGTACTAGCTGTGCACTCTCAGACAAGTCACTTGACCTCTCTGGTTTTCAGTTTCCCCTCTGTAAAATGAGGGGGATGAAAGGAGATGGCCTCTGAGGTTGTCTCTTCCAGCTCCAGATCTAGGGTCCTGTGATGGCATGGACTCATTGAAGGTCTTAAAGGAATGACTGGGCAGAGAAGGAACTGAGTTCCAAATATACACCATATAAGCTTCGTAGTGTCTGAAAGGAGAGAGACAGAGACAGATGGAGAGACAGACACAGAGACAGAGACACAGATATATATATATATATATATATATATATATATATATATACACACACACACATACATATATAGACACAGATATATATATATACATACATATATATATAGACACATATATATATACACGTACATACATACATACATACATACAGAGAGAGAGAGAAAGATGGCTTTGCTCAGATGGAGTAGAACAGTGGGAGATAGATGTTGAACATCATTCACTATTCAGGAGTAGAGGAGCTGGATTGGACCCTAAGCCCTACCCACTGAGGACAATAAACACAGTTGTAGCCTCACTTACTTTCTGAGTTTGTATACTCCCAGGCTTTTTGGTTTTTGTTTTTTGTTTTTGCTAGCCCTACACACCTGGGCAAGTGTTTACCTGCATGCCTGATTGCACAATGGTCAAATGTCACTCAAACTTTTGGTATTTCTTTCATAAATTTCTTTCAAATCTAATATAACCCATATTTTTCTGTTTATTTTCTCTGAATATTGCTCTTGTGAGTGGGCAATATCAATGTCTTATCCAATTAACTGGTACACTGAAGGGTGAAACCAACTCAGTGCTGTTTCCACTACTATGAATTCTTTTCCTATATCAGATGACCTTTGCTACAATGAAGGGTTTCATAGGTAATTTTGATATTTTTTTTGTCCTGAATTCCTATTTCAACTGAAGGAATTCATTACTCACGTCCTGTCGTAAACTGAGGAGTTCATTTAGCTCCATTCTTTTCCTCTTAACCAGAAGTAAACTGTCCCACAGGTTAATATCCAATAACAGTAGACTCTGCAATTTATCTGAGTGTAAAATTCGAAGCTGGACAGAAGACAACAGCCTTAAAGTAACCATGAAATGATGATATTATTTGACGTCATTAAATGAATTATTTTTCCTTGTCCTAAACCAGGCCTGCACAACATATGGCCCTTGGGCCACTCACTTGTGGCTGACCAAAGGATTTCAGGCAGCCCCTGAAAAATGTAGAGGATGTGAAAGAAAGTAAAGATGTAAGGAATTCTCTGTCTGTGCCTCCCTTAATCCACCTTCCATGAGACACTATTGTGCCCATCAGGTAACATGGCGGGAGGGTTGCCACTGTGCCCTCTCTCCTGTTTGTCACGTGACCCGCAACAGCCAACCATCGCCAGTCTTTCTCTAGTCTGAGAGGAGGGAGAGTCGTATCTTTTGGTTGTTTTCAGTTGTTCTGGGGGTTGAACAGTGACAAAGTGAGTGCAGCCAGGCACCAACACAGCTGACTCCCGCTAGGTGATGAGTGAGATTCCCTGCTGAGGCAACCACCTGGGTCAGTCTCACCAGTGTATTCTGCTTTTGTGGTAGAGGCCCCTGGAGTACTCGGACCAGGCATGCCCCAGAAGTAGTCATATCCTCAATACAAACCTCTTGGTAAAGTGAGGGGCAATTGCTAGTGGTGAACTAATGATTGGACAGGGCTCCAACTGCATCTGGGACCATCTCCAGTCATCTTGACCTATATCTTGCCACTAGACTCTGATGACCCTGGAGGAGAGAGTGAGGCTGGTGACTTTGCACAGCCCTGCCTCACCTAAATTCAATTCACTTGCAAGTCAAGACATCACCCTCCTGACGTCATTGGTCCTTTTTGATAATGAAGGAAAAAAACAACACTGGGACAGGTCAAAAATCATTGTAAATCAAGGAAAACCATCAAGAGAAAGAGGAGGCAGGCATTGTTAATCATTCCATATAATTGATCAGTTAAGCATATGGATAATTAATTCATGATAATCTCCTTCTCCCCTGCCCCCATTCCTTATCAGTCTCTGATGGTCAGGGTCCAGTGGCCTCCTGTCCCACTAATCTGAACATCTCCCTTCTTTCTTTCATTAGCTATAGTATACTGTCTGTCCCCTGAGCCACTATCTTCTCAGGAACCTCTCTCTCACACCCTGCATCTTTCCACCATATTGGTCCACTCACTTCTGAGGGTGCATGAACAAGGACAGAGTAATTTCCTAACTAGTTCCCTGTTCCCTGTGCTTCTCCTGGTTGCATCTCAGGTGTCTGGAGAAAAATGAATGATTCTGGGGAGAGAAAATACTATGGACACTTTCCCCATATGAGTGACTGTAATAAAGTGATTGTGAGGGTTCAGGGCATCTTAGTTGCTGTTGGAGCCCCTGCATTTGTGGGGCTGGCCATAAAGAAGGTGCGACTCTCATTTTCTCATGTGTTGGTGGAAAAAAAAGAGGGATGTGTGGATATGGATTTATACACCAGAAACATCTGTCCTGTTCAATACAGTCCTAGAAATGCTGCAATAGCAATGAGATAAGAAAGCCCAAATGAGGGAATAAGCATAAAGAAAGAAGAAACAAAAGGTCTGAAGAATTAGGGGAAAACATGCATATAAATGTATCATTAATGGAGATGTGAATTGTTCTTGCAAGTCTGCAAAGCAAGTTAGAACTATGCCCCAAAAACCCTAAAATGTGACTTTATTTTGAACCAACAATACCAATACTAGGCCTACTGCAAAAGGACTCATACAAGCAAATCATTCAGAGCACCTCTTTACAGAGTAGTCTCAAACTAGAAATTAAGGAGGTGGCCACCTAATAGGGAAGGTGTAAACAAACTGTTGCAAAAGACTATCATGGAATATTATTTTGCCGTAAGACATGACAAAATGGACAGTTCCAAAAGAAAATAGGCAGACAACTATATTGTGATGAAGAGTGAAGTGAGCAGAACTAGAACAATTTACACAACAACATTAATAGGAAAAAAAAAGATTTTGAAAGCTATTGGAATTCTAATTAATGCAATGATAAACCTTTATTTTAAATTTTAAACAAGAAGTTTATTTCAACATCAAGATGTTTGACTTGAAGGGAAAACTATCTAGGATCAATTTTTTTATAGTAATTTATCCATACTGAAAGACAGAGATTGCCCTACAAGTAACAGCCACATACAAAAGTCACAAAATCGTTCTTGGTTTTACAATGATAAAAGAAAAACATTGAAAGTATCCAATCAAACAAGGTATGCAAGGACTTTTTTGTGGGGTTTGTTGTTGTTGTTGTTGTTGTTGTTAAACAGTGAGAGCAAAATAGCTTAATGGAATATAAAGATAAAAGTTGAATGAGCATGCCACTAATGGAGAAAAGGGATATTTTCACAGAACCAGTTTGTTTTTTCCCCTCCCCATCTCCATTTGATGTTGATCATGACATACCATCGGACATTTAGTTAAAAAAAAATAGGCATTATGCCTGTGCACATACACCAGTTACTTTATGTACAATAAAGGAATGGGGGAAAGGGAATCAAAGAAGACAGAAAACTATAATGCAGTAGTCAGGATGTGGATGAACCAAATCTTGGTTTTCTAATTGTGAATGTATTGTTTTCCTTGGGAGCACAATTCTGGAGCAGAGTTGCATGTTCTCTTCTTAGTAAGGGCCTCCTGTCTGCTGCTGGAATACATCAATTATATCTTCATCCTCCATTTCCAGCTGTTCAGGTGTGTCTGTTTCATTGATTGGTTGCCCATCAAATCGGAACCTGATCTGCCTCATCAACAAATCCTGTCGTTGACAATAGGCTTTCATTAATTTACCAAGTTGTGTGTACTTCTTAATCTTATATTGCACCACCGAGCCATCTTGCCCTGCCACCTTCAAAGTAATACTGTCCTTGTTTTCATTCTCCACGCCTTCCTCTGGCTTTTTGTCATCCATGGCGAATCTCGGGGTCTCCTCAGCTGCCGCTTTACAAAAGCGGCACCAGGATGGTCCCCTCCAAGGGAAAGGCGGCAGAAGCAGGAGGAGGAGGAGGAGGAGAAGGAGGAGGACGCTGAGGAGGAGCTGCAATGATAAATCTGAAGTTCAGAGGGATGAAGATGAATCATGTCAGCCACCCATGGCTCCTGTGACAGAGTCTATAGATTAAAATCCAGAAAGAAATGCACATCTGGATTTCATCCATAGCAGAATCCGTCTTTCTGGACCCTGGGTACTTATTGTCAGGCTTCTGTTATTGTTCTGGTTATAGATTTTAAACTGAATTTCCTAAAACATTGTAAACAGCGGCCTGCAAGAGCCAGGCACATGGGTGACAGTCCTGGGTGGGAGCTGTCCCTTGTCCCTCTTCAGGGGTCTGAGATGGGGGGGTGCAAACCCGGCCCCCACAAAGACACATTCTCCCCGCACCCAGGTCCCTGGGACAGGTCGGGACCCCCAGGGAGAGGCAGGGACCCCTAAAAGGGCGGGTCTGTGCCCCACTGACAGACTTCAGGCCGGGTCCCTGGAAGGCCATGCCCTCCCCGGGGACACTGAGGGACCGACTCGGGAGGGGAAGGAGGCAGGGCGTTGGCAGACTCGGCCCAGGGGGAGCTGAGGACGCCTCCTTGTTTAACGGGGTTTGTTTTTCTCGGGGGGGGGTCGGGGAGATGGGGTGGGGGAGGGGAAAATGAGGAGGAGAAGAGGGGGGCTGAGACGGGGTCTGCCCGATGACGTCCAGGCAAGTGGGGCGCCCTCGGAGGCGGGGATAAAAACAGCCGCACAAGGACAGGGACAGTCGGGAAACGAGGAATGGGGGGGGCTCCGCTTCCCAGTGCGCTTTGTACGCCAGGACCGCAGGGACCGAGAGAACCACTAGGCGCCCCCTTCTGGACTCAGCCCCGGACACCAGAGAAGGGGGAAGGGGAAGGGGGACCCCACAAGGGCTCTCGGCGGCCCCACCCCCCCACACCCAGGCAGGCTGGTCAGGGAAGCCGACCTAGGGATGGGGGGAAGAGTCTGAGGGGCCCAGGAATAAAGTGGGGTACGGGGTGAGGGGGAGGGGCGGTGTGAGGCAGCAGCAGCCCTACCCCGCCCCCCCCAACTGAAGGGGCCCCTCCATAGCTCGGCCAAGAATCCACGAACCCTGCTGTGATGTCACAGCTGGAGGCGGGGCTTACCTCAGCCACTGGAACACAAGCGGTAACTATGGAGATGACCAGGTCTAACCCGAGGATGCTGAAGAGGGGGCCCCTGTGGCCTCTTCGGGGACGGGGGCTCCCCTCGTGACCCCTGGCTGGGCCAGAGAGGGGCAAGGCCCTGTTTCCCTCAGTCCCCAGGCACGGCCTAAGCTCAGTCAGCCAGAGCAGAGGCCCCGGTTTCTCTCAGGCTGGTCTGGCTGAGGAAGAGGAGGAAGAAGGTCCAGTGACGCAACAAGCCTCGGAAAGATGCAGTGTGGGAAGGGGGCGGGGCGCCCGTGATTTAACATCCGGGGTAGTCACAGTTGTGTTTTTGTGGGGTGTCAGGAGCATCTCCTCCTCGTGGGGACCTGCAATTATCGATGTGTGCACCCCTGCAAATTCCACTACCAAATGCTCTGTTAAGAGAATAATGAAAAGCATGGCCCAAGATGCCATTTCATTCCCTTTTCCCAATCTGAAAACTATTGACAGTGAATTGATAAAGGACTAGTATCAAATTCACCAAGGCATTTTGAAATTTCAATTCCTGTGTGATAGGACTAATGTCTCCCAGAATTTCTCCTGGACATGGGTTTGATCCATGCCTCTTCCTTCCCTAGTAAAACAGCATTTAGTTTTCCCCACAAGATGACAAAGCTCCTCCTGCAGCCCCAAGGCAATCTTTTTATACTTCTCTAATGAACTCATTATCCCTCTCACCACATTGGCTCTTCAGAAAATTGTCATCCCTCCTCACACCTCCCATGGCTCCTTCCCACACCCACCCACCCTCTCAGCTGAGAACCCTGCCCCATACTGTACTGAAAAGACTGAGGTCATTCCCTGAGAGCTCCTTCTTCGCCCCTCCTCTTCCTCTCACATCACTCAGATGCCTTCTGCCACTGTCTCCCCCTCCACCCCTGTCTCACACATAGAGATGTGCTTAGTTCTTAGTAAGCCAAACGCCTCTCTACCTGCACAAGGGGTCCCCTTCCAGCCCATTTCCTCCAGCAAATTGCTCTCTCTATCATTCCCATTCTCTCCCTTTTCTTCAAAATCTCCCTGTGCACTGGCTGCTTTCCCCCTGCCTGCAAGCATGTCTGTGTCTCTCCTGCCCTTAAAAAATCTTCCCCTGGATCTCTCCATCCCCTCTAATTATTATCCCATATATCGCCTCCCTTTTGTGGCTAAACTCCTTGAACAAGCCATTTACAATAATCTCCTCTGCTTTCCTCTTTCTTCTTAACTCTTCTGCAGGCTACCTTCTGCCCTCATCGTTCAACTGACATGTCTCTCACTAATGTTGCTAATTAATGTTGCTCTAAGATGCCAAATCTAAAGTCCTTTTCTTAACCCTCACCTTTCCGGATCACTTTGCTTTGTTGTTCACCCTTCTTTTGATTGTTTTTGTCTAAGTTTTTATGACATCATTCTCTCCAGGGTCTCCTTTTAATCAATTAATAAACATTCATTAAGTGCCTATGATGTGCCAAGCATTGTACCAGAAATACAAAGAAATGTAAAAGACAGTCCCTGCCCCTGAGCACCTCACTATGGCCACACCTTCTCAGTATCCTTAGCTGGATCGTCATCCAGGTCATGCCTGGTAACCATGAGTGTCCCACTGGGCTCTGTCCTGAGCTGCCTTCCCTTCTATCTCAATACTCTTTCACTTGGTGCTCTCATCAGTTCCCATGAATTCAATTAACATCTCTATGCAGATGATTTTCACATTTAT